ACACACACACTTTTACTTACTTACTTGCGCAATCCTCCCTCTGATTTGACATGTTCATTACATTTTCCCCCTACAGAGGCGAAGATATTAAGCCACACTGGCGGTAAACAACTGCAATCAATGAGAACGGCAATCATTGAAGACGACTACTGCTGAAATCGTCTTCCACCATGTACAGTGCAGGTACCCAGAGTAAACATCCCTTGTTTACATCAGTATGCAATGAGAGCATCTTCGTCGGCAGGCGGACTCTCAGTGCACACTCCTGCCCCCTGCTGGGAAAAATGTTTTTTTTCCGCTGGAGTTGCCGTGTCAGTGCGGAGCGAAGCGCGCTCGAGAGGAAGAGGGGCAATGCATGCCGAAGCCTTCCCCCCATGGGGTGTGGAGGGTGAGTGAAAAATTCCCCTGAAAGGCTGCTGCCTATCGTTAGCGTGTGTTTTCTTACTTTGAGCCACAGCGTTGCGATGCAAGGCGTTGCGTTGCACGTGTGACAAACCAACGAAAACGCAGCTGACTATAAAAGAAAACGCACAACGAGCGTAACTGACTGCACAACGGGTGTGAAAAGGAACAAGAAAATTTTGAAGCGATTGACTTGGAAACGAATCCTTTGCAAGATTCGAGTTGAAAACCGGGTTTTGCGGTGATATGTATGCGCAATTCCTTGGCTCCTCTGGGCCACGTCAAATTGCGTACTGTGCATGCTGCCTTGAAAAGTTGGCGCACTTTGCTACGACTGGGTTCCTCAAGATTGTTAGTGAAGCGACACAACGCAACCGCAAGCGCTTCTTCTGGAAGCAAGCGCTGATCTTTACAATGGATAACCAACTGAGCATTCAGTTTGTTACGTACCGCTTAAAATGGCACCATGTTAGACGAACTGGTGCTTTATTTTGAAGGACAGAACATGCTGACGAGCAGTTTGTCTTCAAAAGATAAAGTTAGTTCAGCGGGACACACACACACACCCACCATGTTTAATTACCTCGCCACGGGTCCAGTGGAAACTGGTCTAAAATAGTCTGCCTTGACGGACGAAAGGCTTTGGAACACTGGCTCAACTTTCTTGGGCTCACCATGACGGCTCGCAGGTCTATGCCGCAGCCCCGTCATGATGCCCTTCGAGTGGTGGGGTTCACGATGATGGTTCGCAAGTCCAAGCCGCAGCCCCGTCATGATGCCTTTCGATTGCATCGTCCGGGGTCAAGGTCCAGCCCCGCATGTTGAAGTTTGGGTCCTGTCCTCTTGTCGGGGTCAAGGTCCAGCCCCGTACATCGAGGCTCGGGTCTTGGCCTCTCGTCGTCGTCAAGGGTAGAGTGTGGAATTCAGGTTGCTTCACAATAGAGGGCAGCGGCGGGAGGATGTTCAACCAATAGCAGTTTCCTGGTTGGGCCCAACTGGTCTCAAGGCTGAACGTCTGCGAGGCTCAATCGCTCAGGTGGAACCGATCAGGGTTCTGCACCTTACACGGTTCGATGCAGTAGGCAATCCTTCCGGAGACGGCATGCGGAACGGGAAAAACCGTCTAGGTACACACTTGCGCAATCTGCCCTCTGATTTGACATGTTCGTTAGACTTTCTCTTTACAGAGGCGAAGATGTTAAGCCACATTGGCGGTAAATACCTGCAATCGCTGAGAACAGCAATCACCCGGAGACCGGTTGACAGCGGCTTTCCGTCATGGCACCGTGGTGGCCCTGCGCGGTAGCTGGCCAGGAGCCAAAGATTGGGTTGACTCTTCGGGGCTGATGGGCTGATGTTCCCGGGCACCTATTCTATACCGGCCATCCGGAGTCAATATGCCGGCGGCATGTGCGGGGACGGCATATGCATCTCTGACGTGAGGGCATGTGGGGCAACGGTGCGTCTAGTGCAAGTGCAGGTGCGCGGGATTTTATTTTATCGCTTCTTTTCTCAGGGAATGCAAGTGCATGTGACATGAGTGCAGTGAGTGCAGGTGCGGCAACTTTCGTCTATGCATTGCTGCTTCGGCAGAGTCTTGCCCCCTGCAGAGCAACAACCGCGGCGCAGCAATGAAACTATCATAATGATGTTGATGGTGATGATGATGACGAAAATGACATGCCAAGTATGCCAGACCAAAGGAATGGACTACGAAAACAAGGTGAGATGATCCGTCAGGGGTAAGGTTTCTGCCCCATGCTACGCCAGACACAAAAGAATGACGTAGCACGAAATGAAATGAAAG